GTTATCCGCATCCCTCTTGAAGTGCAGCGCCCAGAATTGCACACAGTACTCCAACTGCGGTCTGACCAGCGCCCGATAGAGGGGAAGTATCACCTCCTTGGACCTATTCGTCATGCATCTGCTGATGCACGATAAAGTGCCATTGACTTTTCTGATGGCTTCGTCACACTGCCGACTCATGTTCATCTTGGAGTCCACTAGGACTCCCAGATCCCTTTCCACTTCCGTGCCACCCAGCAGGTCATTCCCTAGGCTGTAGGTGTGCTGGACATTTCTCCTCCCTAGGTGCAGCACTTTGCACTTCTCCTTGTTGAACTGCATTCTGTTGTTTTCTGCCCACTTGTCCAACCTGTCCAGGTCTGCTTGCAGCTGTTCCCTGCCCTCCGGCGTGTCCACATCTCCCCATAGCTTTGTGATAGGATAAACGTGGCTATGTGGGTAGTTAATACAGGATAAGAGTGGGCCCACAGGTACTTTACAGGGGATAAATGTGGGGGCATGGGTAGCTAACATGAGATAAACATGGACACACAGGTAGTTAATGTGGGATAATTGTGGGCCCAGAGTCTGAGAGCAGGGAAGAGCTGATAGCCATGATAATCCAGGATAAACCTGGGATAATCTGCACCCTCTAAACCAGAGCAGCCCCAGGATGAACACGTTCCCCCAGGGACCGCCCCCCCCCACCACATTGCCCACTTACCTGGGGGGGCCAGGTGGATGACATAGCCATAGCCCGCATAGATGGCCCAGTGCCGGTAGCCTCTGCGAAAAATCTCAATGAGGTCTCCGGGCTTGAGCTCGGGCTCCTGTTGTGGGGACCAGGGCAGGGGTCAGACACAGGAGCAAATTGGACCACCCTCCCAGTCAAACCCCCGAATGGTGCCAGCACCACCTCAGGGCAGCCCAGCAACACCCCGCCCCCTTGCCCTGATATAACAGAGAGCTCTTAGACAGAGAACTAGATCACAATCTCTTTCAATTTACAAGTAATTCATCAATTAATTCAACTGAAAATTAAGAATACCAGTATATAGCAGTATATACAAACACAATTATACATTATGATTCATAGATAATATTACACATACTAAATTAGAGTGTATATACAGATACAGAAACTATTTGCTAACATATCTATGTATATTTACATGTGTTTGCTATTTTATCAACAATTAGTCATGACTGCAACTATTGCTATTAACATTGGGTCAGTGCATCCATCAGCAGGA